CAGGCCCCGGCGGGGCCGCGCCCGCCCCTCGCTCCCGGCCCTTGTCCCGTCCTGAGCCCGCTGCCGGGGCTGGAAGGGGCTCGGGCTGTTCCTGCGGGCCTTCCTGACCCACTGCGGCTCCTCTGCCGGCCCCCCCGGCCCCGGGACACAGAGACCCGAGCCTCGGGGCCCTTCCTCGGGCCGAGCCCAGCCCCGGCTCCTCTCCCCGCCCGGGGCGAGGGAAGGGCCGAGAAGGGACGCGCCAGCCCCGGGCCGCGAGCCTCGCCGGGCTTTGGGGCCGTGGGGCTCCCCTGGGTGCTCTCGGCAGGAGCTCCCTGCACTGGAGAAAGGGGAGCTGCCCTCGCCCCCCGGACTTTAACCCGACAGAGCCGGGAGCTCTTCGGGGAACGCTCGGGGTTTAACCCGGAGCGGGCCCTTCCTTCCCAGCGAGGCAGCGGCGGGCGGGGGGTGCCACCCCGGGGAGTTACCGATAGCGACCCCCTTATCGATATCGATCCCTTCTACCGATAGCGACCCCCTTATCGATATCGATCCCTTCTACCGATAGCGACCCCCTTATCGATATCGATCCTCCATTATCGATATCGATCCCTTTTACTGGTATCAATCCCGATATCGATCCCCCTTACCGATAGCGATCCCTTTCACCGATCTCGACCCGCCCTTACCGATGACGATCCCGTCCCGGGAGCCGGCCATGAACATGGAGGCAGTTTTGGAGGGCAGGAGGAAGTGTCTGATGGCCAGGAACGGGGACAGGCGGGCTCTCCTCTGCGGCGAGGGCACGGCGAGGTGCTTGGGGCTGGGGCTGGGGCTGTCCCCGGAGGAGCCGAGCGGGGATTCGGGAGCGGGGGAAGGCGAGCGCTGCCGGGAGCGCGGCACGGCCTTGGCCAGCTCCGGCTTCTTGATGAGCACCCACTCGTACCTCTCTGCCTCGGGGCGCACCTGGGCAGCGGGACACACCTGTGAGCCCGGGCCTGGCCCTGCGGCACCTGGCCACCGCTGGGGGAAGGTGCTGCTGCTGCTGCTGCTGCTGCTCGGGGGGCTGGGGCCGAGGGTGCGTCCAGCTGGGCCTGGGGCACGGAAGGGACAGGGTGTCCTGGCAGGGCAGCAGTGAAGGGACAGAGCCGGGCATAAACCGTGACTTACAGTGAACACAAAGCACTCCCCTGTCCCAAAAAAGCCCGATGTGGCTCCGCTCTTCTTCCTTTCGCTCCAGTCGGAGGAGAGAAACGCCCCACACACCTTGGGAGAGAGCACAGGGAGCCGTCAGGGGATGGCCGGGAGCAGAGCCAGCCCCGGCAGCGCCGGGCATCGTCCCGGGCTCTGCAGGGCAGGGGCTCTGCCCCGTCCCCTGGGGAATCAGAGCCCAATCCTGCTGTGCCAGCCCCATCCTGCACTGCCCATCCCTGGTGCCCTGCAATTAAAGTCTCACTCGTGGCCTCTCTCCCCCTCACCCACTCCTGTTTCCCCAGCACCCCTGGCTGAGCTGTGCCCCGGTGGTCCCCGTGTTCTCTCCTGGGAGCTGGGACAGAGCCGGGGTGGGCAGGACAGGGGCCACACAGCCCGTGGGTGCTCCAAGAGGAGCCTGTGGAGTCACCCACCCTGCTCCCTTCCCCAGCTCTGCCTGGGAAACGCTCACCTCCCCCTCGGTGGTTTTGATGAGCAGCACCGTGGGTTCGTAGCCCTCACAGCACGTGTAGAACCTGCAGAGATGGACAAGGGGTGGGTCAGGGGGAGCTGGAGCCCTGGGCAGGGTGTGCCGGCTGTCCCTGGCCGCTCACAGCGTGCCTGGCACCGTGTGGCACACGGGGACATCCCAGCCTGGCACATCCACAGGGCTCCCTGTGCCCCGGGCGGTGCCCAGGTGTTGGTGGCCACCTGGCCCAGCCTCTGCCCTCTCCCCTGAGTCACAGTCAGGAGGCTGAATGGAGCCCAGGAGGGTCCCCAGTAGCCCCAGAGGTGCCCCAGGGCATTTGTGTTGCTCCTTTCTCCAGCACCGAGCCCTGCCCAGGTTTCCCCCGCGTGCCCGACCCCGCCGGGCAGGTGAGGCTTCACCTCTGCAGGCTGCAGCCGTCCTCGGAGGTGGAGAAGAGCAGCAGCGGGGGGAAGAGCGAGAAGCGCTCGGGGATCCAGGACCAGACGAGGCGCATCTCCTGCGCCGTGACGATGCTGGAGCTGAAGTTCTGCATGTCCACAGCCAGGTGGAAGGACGGCCTGCGGGGAGGGACATCAGGCCGGGCTGTGGGGCCCCTCTGCTTTTCGGGGCACGGCCCCTGCACCAGGGTCTGTCCTGCTCTTTGCACCGTGAGCTCTCTGCCAGCATCCCCAGCTCCGGCCGTGCCGTGGCCCCTGGCAGGGTCCCCCAGGGGCTGGGAGGGCCCAGCACAGCCCCGGCTGCGGGAGGTGCCTGCAGCTGCCCCCGGCTGTTCTCCACAGGAGCTCACGTTTTGCCTGCTCAGCCCCCAGAGCCGGGGAGCGCAGAGCTCTCCTCACCTTCTCTGCACCACGGTGATGCCCCTCTCCACCAAGGCCTTCCTGTTGGCCATCTGGAGAAGCCAGATCTCCTTGCGGGAGAAGAGACGGATGCCAAAGGCTCTCTCCAGGAGTTTGTCCACAGTCACGTGCTCGGCGATGTTCCTGGCGAAAGCCTGCAGCTCTGCCTTGATGTCAGAGCCCTGCAGCCCGGCCGGGGCCACCGAGAGCCTGAACTGCCTCAGCAGGGCCAGGGCGATGCGGTACAGGACCTTCTGGCCCTCCAGCAGGAACACGTCCAGCACGCGCACGGCGTAGCCGAAGGGCAGCCCGGGGAAGAGCCACGACAGCCACTCCGAGTAGACCTCGAGGACGTTCTCGGCGGCGCCGGCGATGAGCTTGTGAGCTGCCGGGCAGTGCTTGCTGGCCAGGTCCCCGAAGGTCATGCAGGAGGCCTGGTGGGCCAGGAAGGACTGGTCGATGTAGGCGGCGTGGGGAGCGTTGCTGGCGATGAGGCGCGAGACGCTCTCGAAGCACTGGGCCTCGTCCTCGCTGTAGTGCAGCAGCAGCGCGGCCAGGGCCGGCAGGAGGGGGCTGTGGGTGATGTCGGGGAACAGGGCGCCCACGCAGATGAGGATCTTCTTCAGGGCGGTGACCCCCCGCGGGCTGAGGCAGTAGGTGGGCACGGGGCAGCCCTCCAGGAACTCGGGCAGGGGGTGGGAGCTCACGCTGGGCTTCCCGAAGAGCCGGGCGGCCACGTCCCTGTAGACGAGCGCGTCGGGGGTGACGAGGCGGCAGGAGACCTGCTGGATGAGCCGGGGGTAGAGCCGGGCCCGGCCCGCGTGGCTCCAGCCCCAGCAGCCTTCCCTCGCCAGCCTCTTCAGCTCCTTCGGGGGCCTGCCCAGGACGTCCCACGGGATCTGCGCCGGCTGCTGCGGCTCCGGCATCTTGTCCCAGTCCACGAAGGGCCCGCAGCCCAGGCCCAGGGAGGAGGTGTCGATGTCCCAGGTGTCAGCCTCGGACGTGACCACGATGGTGATTGGGGATGAGCCGAGCACCTCTGTAGGACAAAGACCTTTTACTGAGCACCTCTCAGCGCCAACAGCGTTTCACCCTGGCTGAGGGCGCTCTCAAGTCTCACAGCCACGTCCTGCATTTCTTTGCTCTGCCCTGCACAGGGAAGGGTTTCGGGCTCTGCCCTCTCCCGCTCCCATCAGCTCAGGGCCCTGGAGAAGCGTGGGGCCAGGTCCCAGCTGGGTGTCGGGCCTTCTTCTCACACCGTGAGGGGCTTTTCACCCCTCCAACAGCTCACAGCCCCGCGCAGGGCTCGGGCAGCCGCCAGCCCGGCGCTGGGAAGAGCAGAGTCCGAGCTCCTCCGAGAGAGACGGGAGCGGCGTTCCCGGGGCTGCGGAGCTCGATCCGAGCCCTGCCGGGGACACGGAGCTGGACGCTGATTAGCGGGCAGGGATAAAGTCAATTAGCTCCCTCATTAACTCTCGGATGTTTTTATCGTGGCTGTGCTCAGCTGCTGGGGGGTCAAGGATGGATTCGCACTGAGCCAAGGGGACAGCGGGGGGACCGCACGTGGTGGCACATCGGGAGGGTCCTGACGGCCGGGCTGGCTCCGGCTCCGGCTCTCCGGCTCAGTTTGGCGCTTGCCCAAGGCCAGCAGGAGCAGCGGCTCGGGCTCAGGCTGGTTCAGGGCAGCAGCTGTTGGATCCGGTGGCTCGGGCCGACTCCGTGTCCCGGACACAGCCCGACCCCAGCACAGTCACGGGGCTCCCGGCCACGGAAACCAGGCTGGGACAACATCGGCGGTGAATCGGGGGCTGTTTGCTCCCCAAATTCACCCCGTCCTCTCCGCAGGGTGCTGCCCTGCCCGGGTACCGGGGAGCATCAGCCCGAGCCCACCCGACCGCCGGTGCCCCGGGCCCGGGTTCCGAATGGAGGCTCCGGCTCCGCCCGGCCCGGGACGAGCCGGGGGGGGCTCGGGGCAGGAATTGGGGTGCGGCGCAGCCCCTGCGC